GCCTCGACAATCTATAATGCTCTTCGTCCACCGAAGACACAGGTAAATCACCTATTTCTGAAACACCCAGGCCTCAAAACACTGAAAGCGTTCACCAAAAATAAACAAACAAGACGAAACTGCATACACACCGAAACCCTAACACCAACGTATGACCCAGTAGATAGGGAGATGTAGGGGTTGTATCATTCTGGTGCTTCAAAGTCGAGCTTCTATGGCCAGGGTAGTGTCGGAGAGAGCTGAGAGTGTCGTGACAGCGTCTTTTTCTCAGGCTTCACAGAGTTTGCAGTGCTGAATGTGGTGACAGGTCGCGACAAACCCGCTGGGAGAGGGTGCAGCTCTTTATTGAACATTCTCAACAGCCAACAAGTCAAGTGCCTGATGTGTGTGTGTGTTCTACGCCATCCCGGGCGGAGGAAGTGAAGGCAATACAAGTCATGTCCCGTCGTTTTGTGCTGATGAAGCACCCTCTTTGACCGGCCTGCCACAGGTGTGTTTTGTCAAAGCAACTTGACTTAAACTTGTGTTGTGCAGGGCTGTTAACCTAGCAAGAATCACCTGAAAACTGTTGTTTTGCAAAGAACTTTCTTCTTGGGCAAGTACTTTCTGTGCGCTGACCGCGCTTTTTGTATCCAAATGCGCGAAAGGGGTTCTAGCATTCCTAAAGAACACATCTGTTGAGAGTTGGTTGGCATTCTTCTGCGAGATTGTCTTTGAACGGCAATATTTTTGAACGTCCAACCGTCCTGGACGGCGCATCCTGAGCTATGCTATTCACGGAGTCCAGGTGCAATTGAAAGCGCCTCCCATGATCAAGCGCACATGATGCAATCCATGATGCAGAACAAGGCCGCTTTTGGTTGTTTCGGTCAGCAGGGTCGGGGATCGAACTCCACCTTTCTCTAGCACGAACATCCTCCCAAGGCTTCCTCCTCAAGCGACGGACTCACCGTGTGTTCGTGAAAATTTGGGTGAACTGCTCAGCTTCCCGCACCTTCCCTCTATCTTCACTTCAGAAGTTTGCTAATTCAGATCAATTCTGGGTTCCACTTGTTTTGCTAGATGTCATCCCTTTTTGCCCCTTAGATTCTTGGCCTCGGCCCACCCCAGTTCTTTGATTTGGGGTTGTGATTTGGGGTTGGTGATGGAATCCTTGACCGTCCTGGTTGTGCTTAATTGGGGTGACTTCTATTTTCTCGATAGGTAAATCCTGGTAAATCTCCTTGAGGGGAATACGGATTTAAACTCTTTTCCCAGTTCCTGAAGCAAATTCAAGTTGACCGACTCTTTGTAGATGGATGCGGTTGTTTGGTTTACCTCACGCGGATTCGTGGCAACATCTGGCAATACGCAAATCAGTCTTTGTGGCCCCGGTGGTTGCAGACCAGCCTCTTCCAGGGGTGGAGACACTGGTGGAATTGCTTTAGCAACTTAGATTAGATCTATCTGTCTATGTATTACTATATACTATCTATCATATACTACTTTTATTTTCAATTTGAACCAGTTCAACAACCTGGGATCCCGGATCGCTGTCGGGTCGTTGGGCTGTTTTTCATCGAGCAGGAAACGCATCTCAACAAGATCAAGGATCTCTTCGCCAAGATGGGAGCCCATGAGTCAGGCCAGTTGTCTTTGGTCCAACACCCTTGCACTTTTTCTTTTTAACGATTTTGAAGAAGAGAACTGCCACATGGAACTTTTTTGCATGGCTACAGTGAGGCGTCTTGAATTTTCTTCTTTTAGGTGAGTTTCGGTTCAACTTTTTGTACTAGCCGTCCAACAAGCTGGAGGATGGATTTGAAACATCCCTTAGTCATCCCGACAATTGAGAAAGAAATGCGCGTACATCTTCGTTGACCGTAGCATGTTTTTTTTTTTCGAAGCTGCCAGGGATGCGTGAGCATTTTCATAAGCCAATTGGCTTGCCTTCTTCAATTCGTGGAGCCTTAATCATGCTTTTTCACATCTTTTCACCAAAGGCCATGAACATTGGTACAAGTTGTGTGGATCTTCTTCCCTGCGGAGGGCAACAAGGGGTTTCCGACCAAGTGATGCAGGGGCACAAGAAAACCCACAGGAAGACACCCACAGGAAACGACCGCTCAAGACCAAAACTGGTGCTTCCTTCCGCTGAAGTACAAACGGGTAACGTAGGTGATGGGAGTGCTGGAAGGGGAAGCGGAACAAAAGCAAGCGTGGACTCCATGCGCTTTTCGCCGCGTTGGGACAAAGGGAAGGTCAGAGACTCAGGTTTTTGTTGGGAGGGAATGCTCATTCAGTGCTTCTGAAGTGGTAGCATTGTCGCTCGCAGACGAAATGCTGTAATGCAACATTCCGTCTCTGAAGTGAAAAGGTGCGCGCTTTCAGTGTTTCCTCAAACTGAGCCGTCGCTATACTTATGATTTCACACCACTTGCTAAGGCCATAAAGACGATGTTTCACAACTAAACTAGGCGTTGGGAAGAACAGCGAAGCATGGCACGTGGGTCTGACAGCCGAAGGGAAGACGCACGCGCGCGCGTGTGTGGCGGAGGAGTGGCTTTCTTTTGAGTGAAAGTGGTTGTGGGCGTGCCGACTGTGGAGTGCAAGAGGAACTCCCAGAGAACCACCCAACAAAAAACACCAAAACCATCCAAAACCACACTTTTTCGGCTGGTGCTGTGCGTGGTGGGGGGGGGTGTCTGGGGGAGAGACAGGGAGAGCTCGACACATCCACAGTTCCTTCGGACTCATCGAAGGAGTAACGACTCGTCTCCACGCCTCCGCGACGTCTCCGAGGTGTTGCAAGGAATCCGGAAGGATCCTACCGGTTTTGGATGGTTGATTGTTGTTCCTTCAGCGTTGCAGTTCTTTTGGTGCCAAATGTGTGCTGTGAAAAAAAGGATCCCTCATATTGAGGTGGCGAGACAAATCAGTTCAAGATGGACGCAATAGAGGGGAGACTCCCAGTCAGAGTCTGACTGATATAGAGCATATATAATCATACATGGGCCTTCTCAGGCGGAATGACCCAGCCATTTGGTCATGAACAAGCGGTGCGTCGTTGCAATAAACCGCTCAAACAACGATGGGGGCAGTTTTTGGGCTGGTTTGAACCGGTTTTGGATGCCCCGGTTTTGGGGAGGCTGCATCACCTTCTCCATGTTCGAGGACAAGATCAATGATCCAGCCATTTGGCGTCAGCGAAATCGCCAGGATCCTTCTGGCGAAACATGCAACTTACATGTATGTCTACAGGCCTTGAAGGGCGGAAAGGAGTGAGAAAACTCAGAGGCAGAACCATTTGGGTGTGAATGTCATAGGGAGATCCCCAACCAATTTGGTCTATGTTCCTTTTTCTAGGTGGTCGTTGCCGGGGTAGTTGGGATCTCCCTATTTGAAGATACACACCCATTTGCTTCTTCCTGTCTCAGCGGGCGTTTCCAATTTCTCAGGCCGCAACAAGATAAATGTTCATTGCACAGGGTACAACCCATCCATCTCATCTTCCACAGATCTTTGCATGGTCAGAAGGTCCAAGGTCCTAAAGCCGCCCTTGTCACAGTTTGACATTTGAGAGGTCATCAAAGATAGCAATCCCAAGAGTTTTTTGTTGTCTATTGAGATCACCCAGTTGATCTGGGGTAGAAACGGCCCGATCTGAAGGGTTCTTCGGCTTTTGGAACCCGTCCCGTCCCGGTGCGACCTAGGACGTTCGGGCCTTTTTCGAGTCGCTGGACTTGGCTTCTTGGCGACAAACTCACGCGTGGGCGTGTTGGCGTCGGTTGTCGTGGGTGTTTTTTTGAGGGACAAGGGTTGCGTGCGGACTTTCGGGAGCCAACCACACAACGAAACAGGCAGTCTTCGGACAGAGGAAGGGAGAAATATTGGTTTGGCTCTGCTTGGAACACTACACATGATATATAACAGATTATAAAGGTTAATTCGGCCTCCGTTGTATTCAATTCAATTTGATGCTCCATTTTGGTGTTGAATTTGATGGGGTTTCCCCGCGCGATCCTTTTGGAACCGGTGCTGGTTTGCCCTGCGGTTCAAGTTGATAGACCAGGAACGATCATGTGTTGCTCTAAGTCTTGGGCCGTCCGACGGGCTGGATTCTTCCTGATTCTTACTGGTGAAATGCCTCAGCGAATCGTTCCATGGGCCAGATTCCGGGCGAACCCAAGAACCCAACCTTTGCATCCACCAGCGAGCCAACGCGAGCCAAGCAGAGCGAGCCAGCGAGTTCAGCGTGCAGCGTGAGGGCCTTCGAGGGCCTGACCTTGACCTTCGGGCCGATATCGACCTTTTTTGAGACACCAAGATAAAGAGATTAGAGGATTGTACAGTCCTGGACCCCTTCCTGGATTGGGTTCACCCGATCTGAATGTGCTGGTACTTTTGCCAGGACTATTGACGACTAGAGAGTTTGGAAAAGGATCTCTGATGAATTCTTTGAAGACTTAGGTTTGACAATCCAGGACCTTGGAAGACCTTACTCTCAACACAAACGACTGGCGTTCATGGATTTGCTCCAGACCAAGTCCTATTGAAACGGCGACCCAACCTGGGCAGGTTCTCCCCCAACCTGGGGTAGTTTCTCCTGGACCTAGACGTAGCCATTGGCACAAAGAAAAGAAGGCAAGCACAGGCAAGCACCGCAAGAAAGACCACATCCTGGAGGATGTGACGGAAGTGATGACACCACTCAGCATGAAAGGTAAATACTGGTTGTTTGCCACAGACTCAAGGTTGAAACCTTTGGCCAAGAGACACCCCTTCGTTCGACTTTGATCACGCGCCCTTGACAATGGTCTCGGCAGGGGGGTCGCATACAGTTTTTTTTTGCGAAGTGATGGCTTTGCGGACAAAATGTTGCCGGACAATGCAAGATTCCACCTTTGGATGAGGGAATGTCCTACACCCAGGTTTCTGCAGG